GTCCACGGCGCGCACGTACTGCCCGGGGCGGCTCTTGTCACTGTGCAGGTTGAAGCCGTAGCCATCGGGGCCCTTCTTCATGTGGCACAGCCGAGGTCTCAGCTCCTCCTGCAAAGGGAACAATCTGTGGGTGAACTGCTCCCGCACCCCCCAACAGCCAAGGACAGCAGCAGGAACCCCAGAGAGCTGCTGGAGCACCAGGGACACCATCCTCAGGTGGCCACCTGTGGGCACTGACACCTCAAGACAGGATGCAGGGTGCCAAACACCCTATGATGCTGGGCTCTAATTAATTAGGTTCGAGGCACACTAATTGCAGTGAAACACTGAATAAACTTGTTATTATGTGTGTGTTCCCAGACCACGCTCTTCCTTTTGGGATCAGGGCTGCAACTGCCATGAAGGTGGAGGAGGAAACCCAGCCCAGGTGGCTGGGAAGCACCCCCACTCCAGCCCATCCACTGGGAAGCTTTGGCCACTGGAGAGGTCTCAGGGGCTGGCACAGGTCCCTGGCATCACCCCCCTGCCAAGTGCCCCTCCCCATGGCAAACCCAGCCATGGGCTCAGCCCAGAGCACCCCACAGCCCCTGTCACAGGGCAGGGGCACACAGGGCTCAGCGAGGCAGCTGGAGCCCAGATGGAGCAGCTGTAATGCTGAGGCACCTCCATGCCCCAGCGTGACCTTCCAGGATTGCAAAACAGAAACCAGCTCCACTGGGGCGGCGTGACTGGGACGTTCACCTCTCCAGGAGGCAACACCCAGCTCATCTGCACCTGGGTTCACCTTGACCTGTGGGTCCACCAGTACCTGGAGCCAGGGAGCCCCACTGGGGCAGCCACATTTGGCCCCTCTGGTGCCCTCTAAGCTCCCCACACTGTGAGCAGCAGGAAGCAGCAGGAGCATCCCCGGGAGCCTGGCACACAGGAACTGCCCTTGCTCAGCCAGCAGGGAGTGGGATATCCAGGAAGCATCAGAGGAACCAGGTGACATAAACCAGACACCTGCATGCCACACTGTCAGAACTGCTCTGACCCTAGCACCCAACAGCACTTTT